ATACCTCTGGTTGTATATAAAATATGTCCACTCCAATTCGTGTCCTCATACATAAACTTTGAATAATGATGTCCATCACATTCCACCATCCTTGCTAAACCCCTGCCCTTTCCCATCCCCTCCCTCCCTCCCTTTTATCCTATCTAGAGTTCATGTATTCCACCCTTGCTGTCCCTCCCTACCCCACTAAGAATCAGCCTCCTTATATCAGAGAAAACTTTGATATTTGTCTTTTGGGGATTGGATAACTTCACTTAGCATTATTTTCAATTTACCTGCAAATGCCATGATTTTATTCACTTTTATTGTGAGTAATATTCCATTGTGTATATATGCCACATTTTTTTTATCTATTCATCTACTGAAGGACATCTAGGTTGGTTCCATAGTTTAGCTATTGTGAATTGGGCTGCTATAAACATTGATGTGGCTATGTCCCTGTAGTATGCTGTTTTTAAGTCCTTTGAGTATGCACCAAGGAGATGGATGGCTGGGTCAAATGCTGGTTCCATTTCTAGATTTCAAAGGAATCTACATACTGCTTTCCACATGGGCTGCACCAATTTGCAGTCCTACCAGCAATGTATGAGTGTACTCTTTCCCCCACATCCTAGACAACACTTTTTGTTTTTTGTTTTCATAATAGCTTCCATTCTGACTGGAGTGAGATGAAATCTTAGAGTAGTTATGATTTGCATTTCTCTAACTGCTAGAGATAATGAACATTTTTTCATATATTTGTTGATTGATTGTATATCCTCTCCTGAGAAGTGTCTGTTCAGGTCCTTGGCCTATTTATTGATTGGATTATTTGGATTTTTTGGTGCTTAGCTTTTTGAATTCTTTATAGACCCTAGAGATTAGTATTCTATCTTTTTTTTCCTTTGGTTAAAGAAATATTTTATTTCCTTATTTTTTTAAACATCCTATTAATCCTTTTTTTCTATTTGGCAAAATAAAACTCAAAATAAATTCAATGAACATTATTAATATGTAAATATTTTGATGGTACTTTTAATTGTTTTAATTGATTTATTATTTTTTTAAATATACTACAATAGTGGAATGCATTACAATCCTTATTACACATATAGAGCATAATTTTTCATATCTCTGTATATAAACTATATTCATGTCAATTTATGCCATTATACATGTACTTTTATACATTATAATTATTAATACACATATATACAATATTTTTTATATCTCTGTATATAAGGTATGTTGACAACCAATTCAAGTCATCATACATGTACTTTGTATAATGATGACCATCACATTCCACCATCCTTGCTCATCCCCTTCCCCCTAACTTTCTCTCTCACCCCTCTTTCCTATCCAGAATTAATTTAATCCTCCCATGCTCTCCCTCTCTACCCAACTATGAGTCACCACCCCCTTTTATCAGAGAAAACATTCGGCATTTGGTTTTGGGGGGATTGGCTGACTTCACTTTGCATTATCTTCTCCAATGTCATCCATTTACCTGAAAATGCCATGATTCTTTTTTAATGCTGAGTAATACTCCCTTGTGTATAAATGTCATATTTTTTTAATCCATTCATCCATTGAAGGACATCTAAGTTGACTCCACAGTTTAGCTATTGTGAATTGTGCTGCTATAAACATTGATGTGGCCCATGCATTTTATCGGATCAAAATGGAATGAAATTAGAAATCAACAACAAAATAAAAAATAAAAATTTCTGCATCACATGGAGACTGAACAATATGCTACTGAATGAACAATGGGTTACAGAAGACATCAAGGAGGAGATTAAAAAGCTTTTAGAGGTAAATGAGAACATAGACACAACATATCAAAATCTCTGGGACACTATGAAAGCAATACTAAGAGGAAAATTCATTTGCTGGAGTTCATTCTTAAAAGAAGAAAAAGTCAACAAATAAATGACTTCACACTACATCTCAAAGCCCTAGAAAAAGCAGAACAAATTAGCATCAAAAGTAGTAGAAATCAAGAAATTAAAATCAGAGCTGAAATCAATGAAATCAAAACAAAAGAAATGATTGAAAAATCTGACAAAACAAAAAAGTTGGCTCTTTGAAAAAATAAATAAAATTGAATACCCTTAGCCATGCTAACGAAGAGAAGGAGAGAGAGAATGCAAATTACTAGCATACATGATGAAATATGCAATATTATCACAGACACTACAGAAATACAGAAGATAATTAAAAATTATTTTGAAGCCTTATACTCCAATAAAATAGAAGATAGTGAAGACATTGATAAATTCCTTAAGTCATATGATTGGCCCAGATTGATTCAGAAAGATATACACAATTTAACCAGAACAATATCAAGTGAGGAAATAGAAGAAGCATGAAAAGACTATCAACCTAGAAAAGCCCAGGACCAGACAGATATACAGCCAAGTTTTACAAGACCTTTAAAGAAGAACTAATATTAATACTCTTCAATCTATTTCAGAAAGTAGAAAAAGAGGGAGTACTTCCAAATTCATTCTATGAGGCCAATATCACCCTGATTCCAAAACCAGACAAAGACATTTCAAAGAAAGAAAACTTTGGACCAATATCTCTAATGAACATAGATGCAAAAATCCTCAATAAAATTCTGACAAATCAAATACAAAAACATATCAACAAGATTGTGCACTCTGATCAAGTGGGATTCATCCCAGGGATGCAAGGTTGGTTAAACATTTGGAAATCAATAAATGTAATGCATCACATCAATAGACTTAAAGATAAGAATCATATGATCACCTCAATAAACACAGAAAAAGCATTTGACAAAATGCTTTTATGATCAAAATATTAGAAAAACTAGGGATATATCTCAACATTGTAAAGGATATCTATGCTAAGACTCAAGCTAACATCATTCTAAATGGAGAAAAACTGAAGGCATTGCCAATAAAATCTGGAACAAGATAGGAATGCCCTCTCTTTCCATTTCTGTTCAACATAGTTCTTGTAATTTTGTTAATTTTCACAAACTCACAAAACATGCAAAGATCCACAACCTATAGTGCAGATGGAAAAAAGGGACTGCAAAGCAATTTATGTGCCACAAAACATGATCTTCATTTAAAGAAAATTAATCAACACAACTTTGCATTCACACTGTCTTCAACACGTCTTTGTTTTTAAAAGCAGAATGAAGATACATTCAAGAATATTTTTTTTTTTTTTGGTGGTGCTGGGAATTGAACCCAGAACATGTGCAAGTGAGGGAACCACTCTACCAACTGAGCTGTATCTGAGCCCCATCTAGTCTGTCTGTCTGTTCTTTCTTTCCTTCCTTCCTTCCTTCCTTCCTTCCTTCCTTCCTTCCTTCCTTCCTTCCTTCCTTTCTTTCTTTCTTTCTTGAGACCAGGTCTTGCTAAGGTTCCAAGGCTGGCCTCAAACTTGAGGTCCTTCAACCTCAGCTTCCTGAATTAATAGAATTGCTGGAATTAATAATTGTGTACAACCACACCAGGCTCAAGTAAAAAATACTGAAAAAATACTAAAGTATATTGTTGTTGCCTTTTACTGGGAAGGGCTGCCTGAATTACAAAATTCCTTGGCATAGTTTCCTGACTTATCCATGGTCATTTGTGGCCAGTATGAGTAAAAGGCCTGACTGGGAAATTCAAAGAGCCAGCAAGGTACTGCCATATAAGAGAACTCCTAGTAACATTCACAAAACTCACACTTCCACTCTCAAAAAATCAAGAAACACACCAACGTAGCCCTGAAGTTTCTCTATGTAGTTAGGAAACATTGGGGAGGTGGTCAAGAGACTGTGGTGATCATCCTCCTTAACAATGAGGAGAAGAAACATGTCTTTGGAGTCAATCCGTGTGCCATTCTTCCTTACCCAGGAATCCTTGCAGATTCCTAGATCCCAGTCCAAAGAGTCCTTCATATCGAATTTCCAGTAATATTTCCCAGGGAACTCTTTGTTCTCCATACAGCAAAATAGTTAGATCTATCAGAATTCAAACATGAGTTTGGATGGACATGCTCAAATCTCAAACTTCTCACATCATCAAATAGCTTGATGTTATGATTGATTACTGCATTTTTGAAGAAAATTTCCACTGTGGAAGGAAGACAATATTCCAGTCAAAATCATCTTTTAAATTTCTGTTAGATGAGAAGTTATACCTTTGACTCTTTTGGGAGGAGAGGTGTTTTAGAAGGCAGAAGTAAAGGCATAATTGTGACTGGAGTATATTGCAAGAGTTCCAGAAAACCTGCTGCAGAAACAAGAGCCCAGTCTCAATGAAAACACTGGTAAAAATATGGACACTGTAACAAAAAGGGTGGTCATGCCTACTTCTAGCTCACTGATTTTCAATTTACCTGAGAACTGGAGGTCTGCATTGCCATTAAATCCAAATAAATATCCACTTAATTTTTTTCCTATTTAGGTTTACCATGGAAATCTATATACTGCCTCAACTTTACCAACTCATTTTATTTTTGATGTTCATAAAGTATTGCTCTGTGAATTCAGTTATTTTATGTTTGTTCATGCATTTTAATATATTAAATTTAATGTATTTGTGTATATTATATTTAATATAATACATGTGAAACATTCAATTACAAAGGCATTTTAAGGGAAAATATTTAAATAATCTCCATCATTACTGGCACTTAATTTAAAGGGAGAACATTCTGAACTAATTTATAATTGTCTGACTTACTTAAATGATTTTGTATCTATACCCTGAATCACATTTATTATTATACCAGCCTGCAGTTATTTTTTTTTTTTTTCTTATTTAATCATGGTAACCAGATTACTAAATGAGATTATAGATACCAATTGACAAGCCATTTCCTTTTGGGATATTAAAGGTTAATAAAGTTAAAGATTTCCCACAGAAAATCATTACTGAAGGGTGCTATACTGTGTTCCCATCAGTGGGCTGATACTCACCTTGGAAGCAGTTGAGCTGCCTATCAGTCTAGTGATGGTCTGGGCAGAAAGTGCTGGCTTTATAGAATGAGGCATGTGCAGCTGCACTGACTCACTCCTGTAAGGAGGAAGAGAACATGAATGTTGTGGTGTGAAAGATGTCATCACAGTTTTTAAGGAACTAAACAACCATTCCACTGAAAATATTTCTTGAAACCTTTCCTCATCAGAGTGTACCTCCATCTTCATGAGAAGGGACTGTTCCTAGGAGTCTTTCTTACTTTATTTGCCTGTTAACAACTCATTTCTCAGAGGTGCCAATCTCATTTCCTAACTAGGAAAAACTATCCCATGCACCTCAGTGTTTCTGATTTAGAATGTAAAATCATACAGAGTTGTATTTATGAATGTCAGCATTCATCCCTCAACCCTCAAACACAGGGGCAAAGAGAAGCTAACTTCTGATAAAGGGGACAGGAAGTCATATTCACACAAACACATGCACACACAGTTGATTATTGTCTACATAAAGTATTTCTTCACTTCGTGAGAAACAGCTTGATCCTTTTCATAGCTCACATGGTGCCCTAGTTTGCACTAAAGACTAAACTTACTTTGTCAATAGATCTCCCAAGTCCTGCAAAGTAAACCAGAAAGGCTTAAATTTCTTAAGAAATAAGATGGTATTTTGTTTTTGGAAAGTTCAGGTAAGTATCAAATATCACCACAGCAACCCTTGTTATAAAATCATTTTCATCTCTCAGGACAATACTGGTAAAGCATATTTGAAGAAACTGAATTCTTGAAGATATCAGCACCCAGAGGGTGAGAAAAGAGTGAGAAGGTAGGACATGGGTAGCACATAGTAGATAATGTCTCTAATGAGGGCATTTCAAACCCACAACTTCAAAACAGAATTAAGGAGCCATTAGCTTTTCCAAAATTGCTTCATATTGTCCAGTGGCAGGCAAAAACGGAATGTTCATGAATAAATGGTTATTTCTGGTTCTTAAGAAAGCAAGATTCAAAAAACAATTTAAGAGGAAAACATTTCCTAGGACAGCTACTCACAAAATTCCATAAATTTTGCTTATTTGTAGTCAGAATGAAAATTAAGCTTTACCTAGATTATATCCAAAGAGGAAAGAACCCCATCAATCACACAGGAGATGTGAAAATTTAGATGTGGCACTAAATAATGTGGTCAAAACTGAGAACCTCAAAGTACATAAATCACTTTCACCTTCATCTCAGTGATTACCTGCAGAAGTTCAACATAGGGTTTATGGGACATTTTCACCAGCTTCTTATATATTTCTCTGAGGCCTTTCTTCTTTTGAACCATTTTGTCATTGCTTTTTTTGAGGTGCTCTAAAATTCATTTGCTTTCCTTTTTAAGACTCTACATGTAGTTTTTCTTCCTCAAGAATAATGGGACACAATTACTTATACTCAGCCCTCATCAGCTCTTCCTGTAGATACATGTAGCACTGCAGGTATAGGTTGTCTAGATCACCTTTGAAGCATGATTTTATCCTCCTCCACTTAAACCTCTCTTGGCCAGTACCTTTTATCAGTATGTTACATACACCATGAATTAATATCTGCCCATTTCTCAGAAATTACAATTTCACTCCTCTTTAATCTTGATTGTTTTTCTATTCTCTCTAATGATGGAAGGAACCAAACCATTCTTTTATCTGCTTTTATCCACTTCTATCTGCTTCATGATTGCATAAAATAGCTGAAGAAAAAAGTTTTGATTGATAATTTATTCTTCCACATATAAAAGCATCTATGCAAGCAATTAGAATTTATAGGTGAGTCACACATCATAATATACAAAAGTCTCTTCTACGGTTAGTAAATTAATTTTAAACTCAAACCTCCCTACAACACTGCTTGGTCATTCGTTTGACCAACATAGTTGAATTTTACTTTGAGAATTAGAAACCACCAGAAAAGCTATGCCTAATATCCTTACACTATGATGTTAAAGTGTCTATAGATCAATTTATAGAATGTCTGTCTCAAGCTGGGTGTTAGGAAAATAGACTTATACTTACCATCCATGGACTGATAATTCCGTTCTCTTCATTTAGATTTTTTCTGAATTAAATGGATCTTTTCCCATAATGATCTTATTTCATTTAGCAGCTTCTCCTTTGTATGTATGTATATATGTAATTATATATATGGAAAAAATTATAATATTTTCTTTTTTTTTACCATTGATGATTATGAATTTTAGAAGATTTCAGGCTGCAAAAGTACAAAATATAATCTAGCCAGGGATATTGATATATAGCTTTCAGATAGTGTGGCAATTCCATCAGAATTGGGATTTTCTGAGGCTCTCCCACACTAATTCCAAGCACTTTATCCCTTGTGTTAGTATATATGCATACTATATAGAAATATTTTGCATTTATTATTGGAGTATCCTGTAACTCTTTTCAAATGAGAACTTTCTAATGCCTTAGTGTTAAATTCAAAATTAAAGTAAGCATGCACCTTATCACGAGCCCTGTAGAAGCAAGCTCCACTAAGGCAGGTATATTTGTATACTTTATTTATTGCTTACACCTTTGGTACTTAGCTTCTTCCTTGATGCTTGGAAAATTTTGTAGCAAGCAGTAAAAAACAGGGCAATCATCATCGTGATCCTCATCTTTGTTATAATCCCTGAGTGCCCTCACTCACACTTCACAGTGCTCTTAGGGGATTCACTTACCTGGTACTCCTCAGCAGCCCCTTCTACAGAAGGATGTCCCTGAGCCCTTTGCTCCTGAGAGCTGGAGCAGAGCAAACACAGCAGGGGCTTGTTCTCTTCACTGAAGATCATCTTTGTCTCTTTGTAGATCACACACATTTTGCTAGAGCTCAGGAATTTCCTGAGAGTGGCTTTTCTGGAAGTGGACATCAAATTCTTCAGAAGAATATTGTTTTTGACATATTTCTGTTGAGATGGCTCTCTGCACACAGGGAAACAGGCAGGAGTTTGGACTTGTTCCCAGGAAAGGCAGAGAAAGGGTAAAAAAAAAGCTGTGCCACTGCCTATGGTGACTGGGTCCATAAGGTACTTCAGGCAGATGGAGCAGGTGCATTCTTTCTTGAAGGCTTGTGAGATTTCTAAGTCCATTTTCTGAGGGAAGAATATCAATAGAATTTATTCATTTATCCTTGAAGAGAAAAAGTCCTGAACAAAATTTTACTCAAGTTGTTATTGACTAGCCTATGACAAAATAGACTTCCTTTAATATATGACCAAATATAAAAATTAATAAATAGATAACTCAAATAAATTATGCATTTAAGAGAATATCTCTCTCTACCAAGCCCAAACTATTTCCAAACACTGCTTCACACTGTGAAAATATGTAAATATTTTAATCTGTTCCAGAAAACAAGGCATCATTTATAATTTTATTTTGCTAAAGATTTGGGTTCTAATTTCTACAGTGGTTGAATTTCTAGAAATAAGAGGGAAGAAATATTCCTAAATATATTTTTAGATCTACAAGTACAAAAGTACAAGTTATCTGGAAGCTAATTTCTGAGTCCTTATAAAATACATAGAACCAACTAAGGGATACAAAACTAACAAAATTAAATTAAATATCACTTTAATTCCAAACTATATTCAAGTCAAGACAGAAGAGGAATGATTTTTATACTAAGTAGAGAAACAGCATCATTTCATAGAGATAACCTAATTTGAAGATCATTTAAAATAGGAAATTTGACTTGATTTGGCTTGGTAAAGCAACTACAGTTCCACTATGAATGGTGTACTTACCTAACTAGTGGGTCCATGGTTTCACCAGTGCTTGTTGCAGAAGTGTAAGTATGAAGTCAGCTCCAGGATTACGTGCTCCAGTTGTAGAGGAGGTAGATTAAAATGTCCCTCAGCGAGATGAGTTTCAAACTCTGCTCTGGAGAAGAATGAGCTTGTCTCCAGGAGTGCCCTT